TGCCTTCTCATCCTCTATACATGCTTCTTCCTTCTCAACAACGCATCTCTGCTCTCATGAGGAGGCTCTTGCTTTGCTGCAATTCAAGACATCCTTCTCCATCAATTACACTGTTTCGGATCCAGATTATTGTGGGGAAAATTATTCTAAGATTGAGTCATGGAAGGAAGGTATAGACTGTTGTTCCTGGGATGGGGTTAGTTGTGATAATGTCACAGGCCATGTAATTGCCCTTAATCTCAGCTGCAGTTTCCTTTATGGCACCTTTCCTTCCAACAGCACTCTTTTCTTCCTCAGAAACCTGCAGAGCCTCAATCTTGCCTTGAATGATTTTAGGCTTTCCAAGATTCCACCAGAAATCAGTCAGTTTACTAGACTAAAGTATCTTGATGTCTCTTCTTCTAGATTTTCGGGCCAAGTTCCAACAGAAATTGCTCACCTCCCCAAGTTAGTTTCTCTCAATCTCTCCAATTTTGAATTGATCCTTGAAACAATGACATTGAGAAATCTTGTTCATAACTTGAGTGAGGTGAGAGAACTTGTGCTTAGTGGAGTGAACATGACATCTGTTAATCCTCGTTTCTTCATGAATCTCTCTTCTTCATTGACTACTCTTTATCTTTCAGAGAGTGAATTGCGAGGAAACTTTCCAAACAGTATTTTCTGCTTTCCAAATCTCAAGAATTTTTATTTAAGTGGAAACCGGAACCTCACTATTGATCTTCCGAGTTCCAATTGGAGCAGTCCTCTCCAACAGTTGTATTTAGGTGATATGGATTGCGGAAGGCGATTGCCAGAGTCTATAGGAGATCTAAAGTCATTACAGTATCTGAGTCTTGGCTGCAACTTGGAAGGTTCCATTCCAGCTTCCATTGGGAACTTAACACAACTTACCTCTCTTGACCTTTCCAATAATCAGTTTTCTAGTCCCATTCCAGCTTCCATAGGTAACTTAAGGCAACTTACTATCCTATACCTCTATTCTAACAATCTTAGCGAACAAATCCCATCATCACTTGCAAACCTCACCCAACTTACCTCTCTTGACCTTTCCAATAATCAATTTTTTGGTCCCATTCCAGCGTCCATAGGTAACTTAAGGCAACTTACTAGCCTAGACCTCTATTCTAACAATCTTAGCGGACAAATCCCATCATCACTTGCAAACCTCACCCAACTTACCTCTCTTGGCCTTTCCAATAATCAGTTTTCTGGTCCCATTCCAGCGTCCATAGGTAACTTAAGGCAACTTACTAGCCTAGACCTCTATTCTACCAATCTTAGCGGACAAATCCCATCATCACTTGCAAACCTCACCCAACTTCCCTTTCTTGACCTTTCCTATAATCAATTTTCTGGTTCCATTCCAGCTTCCATAGGTAACTTAAGGCAACTTACTACCCTATACCTTTATTCTAACAATCTTAGCAGACAAATCCCACCATCACTTGCAAACCTCACCCAACTCACCCTTCTTGACCTTCACAATAATCAGTTTTCTGGTCCGATTCCAGCTTCCATAGGCAACTTAAGGCAACTTACTAGGCTATACCTCGATTCTAATAATCTTAGCGGACAAATCCCATCATCACTTGCAAACCTCACACAACTTCGCTCTCTCTTCCTTTCTCGTAACTTACTTAATGGCACGTTGCCACCTTGGATTTTCACCCTACCTTTGTTAGAGTACTTGCATCTCAATCATAACCAATTTCAAGATCAAATAAATCAATTCCAGCAAAACTCACTCACACACCTAGATTTGTCAAACAATAAACTCCAGGGCTCAATTCCTAACTCAATTTCTAATTTAGTAAATCTTAGTTATCTCAATTTATCATCAAATCATTTTAGTGATTTTGTAGTGCCTGACATGTTCTCAGCGCTTCAAAATCTCGAAATTCTTGACCTTTCTCATAACAACTTAACCGGGAAGATTCCAAATTGTCTTCCTAAGTCTCTCTCAGTGTTGAATTTACAGGCCAATTACTTTGATGGAAATATAGCATTTGGGTTTCCAGAGGGCTGTGGATTACGAAATCTCAACTTACATGGAAATCAAATGGGCGGCGTATTACCAAGGTCTTTGGTGAATTGTCGCATGTTAGAGGTTCTAGACGTTGGCAACAACAACATAAGTGATACATTCCCTTATTGGTTGGAATCTCTACAACACCTTCAAGTGCTTGTCTTAAGGTCCAACAAGTTCCACGGTTCTGTGCAGAGCAAAAAAGAAAGTCTATCTTTTCCCAAGTTGCGAGTTCTAGACCTCTCCAGCAATTATTTTGTTGGTGCTTTGCCTGTTCGGTACATTGAAAATTTTAATGCGATGATGGACCCTCATAAAGATGGTGGTTCCCCTGAATACATGATGATGTCGACGGCAACCAATTCTTATCAATATTCAGTGGTTGTGACATGGAAGGGATTCGACTATGAGCTGCAGAAAATCTTGACCATATTCAGTAGTATTCATCTCTCAAATAACAAGTTTGAGGGAGAAATTCCAGATGTTATTGGAAAGCTTAGTTCTCTCAAAGGGCTTAATCTTTCTCATAACAACCTTACTGGTCATATCCCACCATCACTAGGGAATTTGACGAATCTGGAATGGTTGGATCTCTCTTCCAATGAGCTAGCGGGGAAAATTCCAGATGAATTGGTATCTTTGACACAACTTTCTGTGTTGAATCTTTCAAATAATCATCTTGTCGGACGCATACCACAGGGCAATCAGTTCAACACCTTTGGAAATGGTTCTTATGAAGGAAACCTTGAACTGTGTGGAATCCCATTGTCAAAATCTTGTGATGGAATTGGGACACCGCGGAGCTCCTTCCAAGAAAAAGATGAGTTGTGGAGATTTGGCTGGAGAGTTGTGGTGTTAGGCTATGTATGTGGAGTTGTTTTTGGACTGCTGATGGGATATCTTGTCTTCGGAACAGGAAAACCAAAATGGTTTGTGTCTTTGTTTGATGGCCGACCAAGTCAAAGTGGAAGGAAGATGAGGAAAGCCAGAAGAATTGTTCAAAGAAGAAGCTAGTTGCAGAGTTGATGTTTTAGAGCTTCTGATTTAATGTTTCCTGAATAAGTGCTTTTCGGGTTTGAAGTTCTTGTTATGGCTGGCATTGGCTTGCATAAAATTGTCAGCCTTCTCTTGTCTTTATTTTTTTTTATTTTTATTTTTTTGGTACACCTTCTCTTGTCTTTATTATGCTTTGTAAAATATATTTGAAGGTTTAAGCTGTTAATCATTCTTAGTTGTCCAATTAATCTACTTCCTTTAGCAGGCTCATAAAAATTCTTGTTTGGATTTTGATGGAATCATTTCATGAGTGGGGATATAACTGTAATTGTCATGTTGGGAAGGGTAAGTCTTCTGATTTGGGCTTCGGTCTTTCTAATGGATCACCTCAATTTCACCTCTTCTATTATGAATCCCAACTCCTGCGTTCCATCTGTAGCAAATCCATCAATACCCATCCTATTCTCCCTCAACCTCTGTTTTTACCTCGTCACCTAGCATGCTCAATTCCAACGGGAAGAAGGAATAGGATTGGGAAAGGGAATAAAGTTTTGTTTTTTTTTTTGTTTTCCTGAATTTTTAACATTTTCCTTCAGCTATAACTATTGTGGGGGCTTGAGGCACCTAAATCCGCTGTTATCAATCGACCCCCCTTCATTTCCGGATCCAAAAGTAGTCACTTCCCATGTCGTATTAGTCTCCAATTGTTTCAATCCGTCCATTTTTGGTGGAATTTACACTTTGAGATTGTGAATACTTGGCATTGTTGGTACTAGAGCTCTTCTGAGATCGTTAAGTGAATCTGGGTGGTGACCAATGTGAGGTTTTAGGCCTGGGTTTGGAGTCTCTGAAGATTTTGCTGAAGTGGGAGGTCTTTCTGGGGGCAATGTTTTGTGGTTTTTTGGTTTTCTGGTGCAAGAGGGTGCTTGCGGTGGAGGAAATGGTGAATGCAAGGTACGGAGTGATTGAGCAGTGGGCATTGTTGTTGAGGAATGCCTGGCCTAAGGTTTCTATGGTTTGTAAGATTTTCAAAGACCAAGGTGTGATTCTGACCGCACTTTAGGTCTATCTGCATTATTCTCAATGGCAGAAACTTCTATAACTACACTTGTGGCCATGGAAGGTTTGCTTTCTCTGTTTGATGATTGATGATTTTTGTAATTTTTTTTTTTTTTGGTTTCCTGCCCGGTATCGGAGGCTTCGCCTCGACTAATCTGGACCCGACCCGCGTCGCGCACCTTGGAAATGGTGGGTGAGTCTCCTAACGAAAGGCTGCTGCGTTCACAAGGTCTCGAACTCGAGACCTTGCTTAAGCTTAAACAAGCCACTTACCACTTGATCCAACCCCTCGGTGATGATTTTTATAATTAGTGAATAGCAATTGAAATTTGAATTTTAGTATGGAAATATCGAAAATTTTGGAAAGATAAAATATATGAAGTTCAAGAACATTCACATTTAATGATTGTTAACGTTTCAGTAACAATTATCCTGGAAAGTATGTGGTTGTTGTGTAATGGCATTTGCTGACTTAAATATTGGGTTAAGTTTAGCAAAGATTAATCTGATCTCCTTTTTCAATTCTTGACTGTGAATTTCATGCAGCA